TTCTTTATCTAAATCATTTGATACCCTCATCACCTTACTCTTTTCTATGTTCACTTTCAACATTCTACCTTTACACACACTCCCAAACTCATCCACTAACCTTTGCAATTTTTCTTTAGCATCTTCCATAAGCACAGTATCATCAGCAAAAAGTAACTGTGTCAATTCCCATTTTGTATTTGATTCCCCATAATTTAATCCCACCCGTCTCCCGAACACCCTAGCATTTACTTTTTACAACCCCATCTATAAATATATTAAACAACCATGGTGACATTACACATCCCTGTCTAAGACCTACTTTTACCAGGAAGTAGTCTCCCTCTCTTCTACACACCCTACCCTGAGCCTCACTATCCTCATAAAAACTCTTTACAGCATTTAATAACTTACCACCTATTCCATATACTTGCAACATCTGCCACATTGCTCCTCTATCCACTCTATCATATGCCTTTTCTAAATCCATAAATGCAATAAAAATTCCCTACCTTTATCTAAATACTGTTCACATATATGCTTCAATGTAAACACTTGATCTACACATCCCCTACCCACTCTGAATCCTCCTTGCTCATCCGCAATCCTACATTCTGTCTTACTTCTAATTCTTTCAATTATAACCCTACCATACACTTTTCCTGGTATACTCGGTAAACTTATTCCTCTATAATTTTTACAGTCTCTTTTGTCCCCCTTCCCTTTATATAAAGGGACTATACATGCTCTCTGCCAATCCCTAGGTACCTTCCCCTCTTTCATACATTTATTAAACAAAAATACCGACCACTCCAACACTATATCCCCCCTGCTTTTAACATTTCTGTCATGATCCCATCAGTTCCAGCTGCTTTACCCCCTTTCATTCTACGTAATGCCTCACGCACCTCCCCCACACTCGCATCCTCTTCTTCACTCCTAAAAGATGGTATACCTCCCTGACCAGTGCATGAAATTACCGCCTCCCTTTCTTCCTCAACATTTAAAAGTTCCTCAAAATATTCTCGCCATCTACCTAATACCTCCCTCTCCCTATCTACTAATTCCCCTACTCGGTTTTTAACTGACAAATCCATATGTTCCCTAGGCTTTCTTAACTTGTTTAACTCCAAATTTTTTTCTTATTTTCATTAAAATTTCTTGACAGTGCCTCTCCCACTCTATCATCTGCTCTCCTTTTGCACTCTCTCACCACTCTCTTCACCTTTCTTTTACTCTCTATATACTCTGCTCTTCTTATAACACTTCTGCTTTGTAAAAACCTCTCATAAGTTAACTTTTTCTCTTTTATCACACCATTTACTTCATCATTCCACCAATTACTCCTCTTTCCTCCTGCCCCCACCCTCCTATAACCACAAACTTCTGCCCCACATTCTAATACTGCATTTTTAAAATTATTCCAACCCTCTTCAACTCCCCCACTACTTAACTTTGTACTAGCCCACCTTTCTGCCAATAGTTGCTTATATCTCACTCGAACTTCCTCCTTCCTTAGTTTATACACTTTCACGTCCCTCTTACTTGTTATTGTTGCCTTCCTCTTGTCCCATCTACCTCTTACTCTAACTGTAGCTACAACTAAATACAGTGGACCCCCGCATACCGATTTTAATCCGTGCAAGAGGGGTCATTGTTATGCGAAATAATCGGTATGCGAATGAATTTTCCCCATAAGAAATAATGGAAATCAAATTAATCCGTGCAAGACACCCAAAAGTATGAAAAAAATTTTTTTTACCACATGAAATGTTAATTTTAATACACACAAACTGAAAAAGGCATGCACACTTACATGACACTTACTTTTATTGAAGATCTGGTGATGATTGATGGGATGGGAGGAGGGGAGAGTGTGTGTTAGTGTTTAGAAGGGGAATCCCCTTCCATTAAGACTTCAGGTGTCGAGTCCTTTTCTGGGGTTACTTCCCTTCTTCTTTTAATGCCACTAGGACCAGCTTCAGAGTCACTGGACTTCTTTCGCAAAACATATCTGTCCATAGTGGCCTGTACCTCTCGTTCCTTTATGACTTCCCTAAAGTGTTTCACAACATTGTCAGTGTACAGGTTGCCAACACGGCTTGCAATAGCTGTGTGAGGGTGATTTTCATCAAAAAAGGTTTGCACTTCAAGCCACTTTGCAACATTTCCTTAATCTTGTAGTAGGCAACTTCTTCAATTCTCTCTCCTCTCCTCTGAACCAGTTTCCTCAGGTCTGGCCTCTTGCTGTTGAAGTTGATCTATCAGCTCATCTGTGGTTAGTTCTTCATTGTCCTCCTCCACCAACTCTTCCACATCCTCCCCACTAAACCTCCAACCCCAAGGACTTTCCCAATGCCACAATGGATTCCTCAACTGGCATAATCCTCTCAGGGTTAGCCTCAAACCCTTCAAAATCCCTTTTGTCTACACATTCTGGCCACAGTTTCTTCCAAGCAGAGTTCAAGGTCTTCTTAGTCACTCCCTCCCAAGCCTTCCCTATAAGGTTTACACAATTGAGGATATAAAGTGCTCTCTCCAAAACTCTCTTAGAGTCAGTTGAGTTTCTGAGGGTCACTACAAAGCACCTTTCAAACAGAGCTTTTGTGTACAGTTTTTTGAAGTTTGCAATAACCTGCTGGTCCATGGGCTGCAGGAGAGGAGTGGTATTAGGAGGCAAAAACTTGATGTTAATGAATTTCATGTCCCATAAAGTCGCTCTGCCACGTCTGTAGGATGACCAGGGGCATTGTCTAACACCCGGAGGCACTTAAGTTCTAATTTCTTTTCAGTTAGGTAATCTTTCACATTGGGGGCAAATGCATGGTGTAACCAGTCATAGAAAAAGTCCCTAGTGACCCATGCCTTACTGTTTGCCCTCCACAGCACACACAAATTCTCCTTGAGGACATTCTTTTGCCTGAACGCTCTGGGAGTTTCAGAGTGATACACTAATAAGGCTTAACTTTGCAATCACCAGTAGCATTGGAACACATCAACAAAGTAAGCCTGTCTTTCATAGGCTTATGTCCTGGGAGTGTGCCTTTTCCTCCTGAGTAATGTAGGTCCTGCTTGGCATTTTCTTCCAAAACAGGCCTGTTTCATCACAATTAAACACTTGTTCAGGTTTCAGTCCTTCAGTCTCTATGTACTCCTTGAATTCATGCACATATTTTTCAGCCGCTTTGTGGTCCGAACTGGCAGCCTCACCATGCCTTATCACACTATGTATGCCACTACGCTTCTTAAATCTCTCAAACCAACCTTTGCTGGCCTTAAATTCACTCACATCAGCACTAGTTGCAGGCATTTTTTTTAATTAAATCCTCATGCAACTTCCTAGCCTTTTCGCTTATGATCGCTTGAGAGACGCTATCTCTTGCTAGCTGTTTTTCATTCATCCACACCAATAAGAGTCTCTCAACATCTTCCATCACTTGCGATCTTTGTTTCGAAAACACAGTTAAACCTTTGGCAAGAACAGCTTCCTTGATTGCCTTTCTGGTGCCCACAATAGTAGCGATGGTTGATTGGGGTTTCTTGTACAACCTGACCAGGTCGGCGATACGCACTCCACTTTCATACTTATCAATGATCTCTTTCTTCATCTCTATTGGAATTCTCACCCTTATTGCTGTAGGGTTGGCACTAGAAGCTTTCTTGGGGCCCATGGTCACTTATTTTCCAGAAAAAGCACCGAAAACACTGTAATAATACGAAATATTCCGATTGTATGCTTGGATGTTACCGCGGAGGCTGGCTGGTAAACAATGCCACCGGCGGCACATGTGAGGCTGGCTGAGGGCGCACATTGGACGCGTCTCGGACGAAAATTGGTGAGCGGGTTTTTAAGCGGTATGCAAGGCAAAATTTTTGCGATAAAAGCAAGCGGTATGCGGATTAATCGTTATGTGATGCCATCGGTATGCGGGGGTCCACTGTAATGATCCGATATATCAGTTGCCCCTCTATAAACATGTTCATCCTGGAGCCTACCCATCAACCTTTTATCCACCAATACATAATCTAACAAACTACTTTCATTATGTGCTACATCATACCTTGTATATTTATTTATCCTCTTTTTGATAAAATATGTATTACTTATTACCAAATCTCTTTCTACACATAGCTCAATTAAATGGTCCCCATTTACATTTACCTCTGGCACCCCAAATTTACCTACTACTCCCTCCATAACATTTTTACCCACTTTAGCATTGAAATCCCCAACCACAAGTACTCTCACACTTGGTTCAAAACTCTCCATGCATTCACTCAACATTTCCCAAAATCTCTCTCTCTCTCCTCTACACTTCTCTCTTCTCCAGGTGCATATACACTTACTATAACCCACTTTACACATCCAACCTTTATTTTACTCCACATAATCCTTGAATTAATACATTTGTAGTCCCTCTTTTCCTGCCATAGCTTATCCTTCAACATTATTGCTACTCCTTCTTTAGTTCTAACTCTATTTGAAACCCCTGACCTAATCCCATTTATTCCTCTCCACTGAAACTCTCCCACCCCCTTCAGCTTTGTTTCACTTAAAGCCAGGACATCCAGCTTCTTCTCATTCATAACATCCACAATCATCTCTCTCATCATTTGCACAACATCCACGCACATTCAGACTTCCCACTTTGACAATTTTCTTCTTATTCTTTTTAGTAATCTTTACAGGAAAAGGGGTTACTAGCCCATTGTTCCCGGCATTTTAGTTGACTTTTATAACACGCATGGCTTACGGAGGAAAGATTTTATTCCACTTCCCCATGGATATACGACCAAAACAGTCAAAGGGTTAATCGAGCATCGACTGTAATTTGAGTGTCATTTATTTTATGGTATTATAAGTTTTTTGGGCATTTTGTTAACAAATTTCATATTTTGCTCACATTCAGATATTTTTCATCACTGTATTTTTCTAACTTATAACCTAAATGTGATAATACTGTATTACCATACAGTATTTTAAAATCTAATTTTTCATATTATTTTTTGTCATTCTGCAGGACACACTGGGATATGTGCCTCCTAGTTCGGATGACGAGGTGGCTTCTCCGTCACAGTCTGAAGCAGAGGAGGAAAACGAACCAGATGGTGTTTTTACTTTTAGAAGAAAAAAATTTACTAATTACCATGCTGTGAGTAATGCAGTCATATATTTAGTTTCATATTACTTTTTATTACTTGATGTGCTGTTGGAGTGTGAGGAAAGTGACATTGATGAAGGGATTCAGGGAAACTGGTTAGTCAGACTCGAATGCTGGAGGTGGGAAGTGGGTTGCCTGTGTTCTGACATGGTACTGAAATGGTAAAATTAATACAGTATTTGGTCATAAACATGTCTCATTCAAACATCAAGCAGACATGAATGCCTGACAAGAGCAAAGGTGAGTGGTTCATGGGATCTAATCTGTCAAGATGATGTGCAAGTAATAACTATGAGAAGATTTAGGGAAAGTGTCTAGCTAAGTTTTAGTCTTGGAAGTTGGAAAACAATGTACAATACTTGTGATGGGATCTGGCCATACTGAGGAGTCAGTTTCTTTATCAGAAGGTTAAGCCCAGTCTTTGAGTGTTGTGCAAGAAAGGTATAAAATACCGACAATATGAAAGTTAAGACACGTACAACATCTGGATATCTTTATTGTAGACATTTCGCCATTATGCCCTAGAATCTGTATTGATAAAACCATTGGATGGCAAAACGTCTACAATAAAGATATCCAGATGTTGCACATGTGTCTTAACTTTGAGTGTTGATCATTATTGTATCATGATGCCTTTGCTCTCATGGAATGGCAGGTTGTGAGAGAGCGATGATGAATGTATTTTTCTTCTTGGGTCTTCTTGTCATTGTAAGAAACAGCTGATTGTTTAAAAAATATATGAATTCAAAATCTTAGAGTAGAGCTGTAGAGAATATTTTTCTAGTCTGTTCTGTTTACCTTGTCTGTTATCAAAAAGGAGAATGTTATGATATTTTGCTCATATGCACTAAAATATAAAAAATGTATTTGTTTTAATTAGTTAGATCATGTTCACAATAAAGAGTAATATGAGTAATCTCTTGATCTTTTCTCTTGACATTAGCCCCGGGAAGGTAACTGGCCGTGGGTCCCTCCAGATGAAGGAGGAGGAGGTGACCCTAAATACAGATTTTCTCTCACCTCCTTGGCACACCCAACTCGTCGATGTATTGGTTTCGCTCGCCGGAGAGTCGGTAGGGGGGGCAGGTAAGATAAATTACTCTACAGTATATTTAATTTGTTTATATAATAGATTTGAAGCATATATGTGAAAAGTATTTAGATAAAGGTAGGTAAGTTTTCATTGCATTTATGATAGTGGATAGGGGAGCAATGTGGCATATATTGCAAGTACGTATATAGAATAGGTAGTAAGTTACCAAATGCTGTAGAGAGTTTTTATGTGGATAGTGAGGCTCAGGTTAGGGTGTGTAGAAGAGAGGGAGAATACTTCCCAGTAAAAGTAGGTCTTAGACAGGGATGTGTAATGTCACCATGGTTGTTTAATATATTTATAGATGGGGTTGTAAAAGTAGTAAATGCTAGGGTGTTAGGGTGGGATTAAATTATGGGGACTCAAATACAAAATGGGAGTTGAAAGAGTTACTTTTTGCTGATGATACTATACTTATGGGAGCTTCTAAAGAAAAGTTGGAAAGGTTAGTGGATGAGTTTGGGAGGGTGTGTGAAGGTAGAAAGTTGAAAGTGAACATAAATAAGAGTAAGGTGATGAGGGTATCATATGATTTAGATAAAGAAAAATTGGATATCACATTGGAGAGAGGGAGTATGGAAGAAGTGAATGTTTTCTGATATTTGGGAGTTGACTTGTCAGCAGATGGGTTTATGAAGGATGAGGTTAACCATAGAATTGATGAAGGAAAAAAGGCGAGTGGTGCGTTGAGGTATCTGTGGAGACAAAAATCATTATCATTGGAAACAAAGAAGGGAATGTATGAAAGTATAGTGGTACCAACACTCTTATATGGGTGTGAAGCTTGGGTTGCAAATGCTGCAGCGAGGAGGTGGCTGGAGGCAGTGGAGCTGTCTTGTCTAAGGGCAATGTGTGGTGTAAATATGCAGAGAATTCAGAGTTTGGAAATTAGGAGGAGGTGTGGAGTTACTAAAAGTATTAGTGAAAGGGCTGAAGGGGGGTTGTTAAGGTGGTTTGGTCATTTAGAGAGAATGGATCAAAGTAGAATGACTTGGAGAATGTATAAATCTGTAAAGGAAGGAAGGTGGGGTAAGGGTCATCGTCGAAAAGGTTGGAGGGAGGGGGTAAAGGAGGTTTTGTGGGCGAGAGGCTTAGGCTTCCAGCAAGCATGTGTGAGCATGTTAGATAGGGGTGAATGGAGACGAATGGATTTTGGGACCTGACGAGCTGTTGGAGTGTGAGCAGGGTAATATTTAGTGAAGGGATTCAGGGAAACTGGTTATTTTTATATAGCCGGACTTGAGTACTGGAAATGGGAAGTACAATGTCTGCACTTTAAAGGAGGGGTTTGGGATACTGGCAGTTTGGAGGGGTATGTTTAGTATATCTTTATATATGCTTCTAAACTGTTGTATCTGGGTGCCTCTGCAAAGACAGTGATTATGTGCGAGTGAGGTGAAAGTGTTGAATGATGAAAGTATTTTCTTTTTGGGGATTTTCTTTCTGTTTGGGTCACCCTGCGTTTGTGGGAGACGGCCAACTTGTTGAAAAAAAAAAAATAGATTCTTACATAACATGGTATAACCATTCCAGAAAACTACTTAATTGTACAAATATGTGTTGTTTGAATTGATTAACTTGTAGGAAATAGGAACCCATCCTAGGCAAATGTCAGTTTTTACTGTGATTCAGAGTGGCTGACAAAATGTATATGTTGATTTTGTGGTCTTCATGCTTCCTGAGTATTCTTCATAGTTACCTGTTTTTGGTTGCAATAAATATGCAAAACAATAAAATATGGAGACTGGAAAATTTATATACAGGAAGGCCCCACTTATACGGCGGGTTAGGTTCCAGGCTAGCGCCGTAAAGCGGAAATCGCCGTAAAGTGGAACACCCTTTTTTTCCACTTATAAATGCATACAAACACTAGATAACAAGTTTACACTAACATATATTAAGTTAGCAATAGAACCAGGCATCAAAAAACAATAAAAAGGTACAATACACACATAGTGCACTCATTACTTACCTTAAAATATTTATAGTCTTAATCTAGGGTGAGACAAGTAGTATTTATTGTAAGAAATCAAGTGTGGTATGTATTGTAATAGGCAGGCTATTTCACCAGGCCACCCCACCCACACATACTATTCTATGATATTTAAGCATCCCAGAGCGATAAAATGTATATACAGTTCACTCATTACTTACCTTAAAATATTTGTAGTCTTAATGTAGGGTCAGGAGTAAGTAAATGAGATAAAACGAATAAATGAGAGAGAGAAAGAATGAATACATGAGAGGTGACAGGCCAGGCACAGAGTAAACAAACCATGCTCCCACATCTTATATTTATGTTTATTTATTCTATTGTGGGGTGTATTTATCATCTTTTTATGTTATGTATCGTGTTTATTATATAATTTTGAAAAAAATATCATGGATGGATTAATGAAAATGTGTATATTACCGTAATATACGACATTTAATGAGACTCCGTGACTATTGTTATTATGGCGTCACTTGTGGAAGTCGTCTGCTACCAGAGATCACATTTATGTTTATTTATTCTACTGTGGGGTGTATTTATCTTATTTATATGTTATGTATAGTGTTTATTATATAATTTTGAAAAAAATATCATGGCTGGATTAATGAAAATGTGTATATTACCGTAATATACGACATTTAATGAGACTCAGTATTGTTATTATCACCACTTGTGGAAGTCGTCTGCTACACAGCTCACATTTATGTTTATTTATTCTACTGTGGGGTGTATTTATCTTATTTATATGTTATGCATCGTGTTTATTATATAATTTTGAAAAAAATATCATGGATGGATTAATGAAAATGTGTATATTAACGTAATATACGACATTTAATGAGACTCAGTATTGTTATTATCACCACTTGTGGAAGTCGTCTGCTACACAGCTCACATTTGTTTATTTATTCTACTGTGGGGTGTATTTATCTTATTTATATGTTATGCATCGTGTTTATTATATAATTTTGAAAAAAATATCATGGATGGATTAATGAAAATGTGTATATTACCGTAATATACGACATTTAATGAGACTCCGTGACTATTGTTATTATGGCGTCACTTGTGGAAGTCGTCTGCTACCAGAGATCACATTTATGTTTATTTATTCTACTGTGGGGTGTATTTATCTTATTTATATGTTATGTATAGTGTTTATTATATAATTTTGAAAAAAATATCATGGCTGGATTAATGAAAATGTGTATATTACCGTAATATACGACATTTAATGAGACTCAGTATTGTTATTATCACCACTTGTGGAAGTCGTCTGCTACACAGCTCACATTTATGTTTATTTATTCTACTGTGGGGTGTATTTATCTTATTTATATGTTATGCATCGTGTTTATTATATAATTTTGAAAAAAATATCATGGATGGATTAATGAAAATGTGTATATTAACGTAATATACGACATTTAAATGACTTGATGTATGTAAGTTTATTTAGGTACAGGTATACATAAGTATAATTATCAGAGTATATATAAAATATGAAATAACTTTTAAAAACATTTGAAATTTTGGAGTTTCCAGACAAAATGGAGAGACTTAGTGCTTACTGAGCTCATGGAGAATGTAAACAAACAGGGTGGGGCACGGTGACCGTATTAGAAAGTCAGGTGGGGGGAGCCGTATAGTGAGTTTTGGTCATAATTTGAAATGTCCGTATTAGCGGAACGCCGTAAAGCGGAACGCCGTAAAGCGGGGCCCTCCTGTATCAGTAAATATGCAAAAAATATGGAGTTGGGAATGATAGCAACTTTCTGAACACACATCTGTATTGGATAAATCCTAGTCCACCTACTTACCTTGCAAATTGCTTTGATGTACACTGCATTGTTGAATATCGGAAGGGCTAGTTATAATTATAATGATAATTTATAATTTAGTACAGCCTCTTCTCACTTCTCACTTCCGTTCCTAAGACCACATTGTTAAATGAATTCGTTGCTAAGTGAGGAGCATGCTATAATGGTATGTAGTGAGTTTGTCAACCGTATTTGATATTGTTTTAACATCACCTCTTCACCATTTATAACATTTCTGGTATATTTTTAAATGTTGATACAGTAGTGTACTGTATATTGAAATAAACAGAATAGAGGAAATCAGCTGTGATATACATTATTTAGGTATGAATACTGGTCAGAGAGCCTGTGATAAGTCCAAGGTGTCAGTAAATGAGTATGTTGCTAGGTGGGGAGAGTCTGTATTGCATTTCCATACATTTATCTTCACAGATAGAGTTGACATAACTAAAATTTAAAAAATTACTTCCGAGGACATTGCATGTTCATTGAATGTTAATGGAAATTATGGTATGGCTAAGCCTTTTTTTATGAAACACATCTAATGCTCTCCGAGATTGACTACAAGTTATGAAATAGTGAATATTTTCTTTTACTAATAGGCATATTATAGCATACCTGCATCTTATCAGCAGCTTGAAGAGTAAGTAGTTTTAAGAGTGTGGCTTGATATAACATATGAGAAGTATTGTTCTTTGTATTGTAAGAGTGAAATAAAGGTTATCTGCATTTATGCAAGAGAATGGGGGTCACCTACTCACATGGCCAGGCCTCCTGCTCACATGACCAGGCCTCCTGCTTACATGACCAGGTCACCTGCTCACTTGACCAGGCCACCTGCTAACATGGCCAAGCCTCCTACTTACATGACCAGGTCACCTGTTCACATGGTCACCTGCTCACATGACCAGGCCACCTGCTCACATGATCAAGCCACCTGCTCACATGGCTAGGCCACCTGCTCACATGGCTAGGCCACCTGCTCACATGGCTAGGCCACTGTCTGACTGACCACTTTCTTTCCTCATGGGTTACTGAAATGGATGTGACCAGAACACATGAGATGCATAGAGTGGTGCATAATTTAAGATTTCTCTAATTTTTTCTTCATGTTTAATGTCTAAGAAAGTGTTTCGGTATATGAACCTATGGTTGCTCAGTAAAAATTGTACTATGCTGA